ACAGAATTAAGATTGTGGCCTAGCCCTATGTCCCTTTGTCATTATGAAGTTTTCTGTAGTGAGAATCTTATCTATGCTAGAAATATTAATTTCTCTGGTGTGAGTGTCCTCAAGAACTAGTGATTATTGTAAATGTTGGCACCTTCCTTTCTCAGCTTAGCATGCCCTTTCTGACAGGTTTTCTTAAATGTCAGCTCATTGAAACATAATTATTTAAATAAAAACACGTACAAGCAAAATGGGCCAAGTTTCTTTCCCTGTCAGGGAATGGAAGATAAACAACAATGCAAGCATTAACCTCATTGCTTGATGAATTCATGGAAAATGGCTATTGTCACCATGAAAAGCAACAAAGAATGGAAGGCCCGGATCTCTTCAGGTTGAGAATTCATTAAACGTGGATGACCTGGGCTCATGAAGGGCTGTGTGCTGGCACGGCTGGCACGGCTGGCTGTGCTGGGGACATGCTCAACCTCAGGCCAGAGTCCATTCTGAGACAGTTGCTAACACCTGTATTATATCTCATGCAGTTGTAGAGCAAACCAGAACTATTTCTGGTTTGCTTTAAAAATACTCTGCTTAGGTCTGAAGTGATTCTTGAGCCATTCTGCATTAATTTACAGGAGGAAGATAGATGACCAGGGGCAAAACTTGTCAGTGGACCTGAATCATGCATGCGGATTCAAGAATCAGGCCCTCTACTTTGAAGCAAAGGGAAATAAAATCATAGAGAATTACCTGGACACTTACTGCTTTGGTTTTGTACCCTACTGCCAAAGGCTGCCAAGAAGTTTGTTGTACAGAACAGCAGTATTTCAGAACAAGCAACAGGAAAGTGGGAATGCAGAAGGGACCAGAGTGAGCAGCGAGACGCCCTGTAAGGGGTATTGCACTAGATAAAGACCCAAGTAGGAGCAGTTGCTGAAGTTGCAAGTAAACATAGAACAAACAATTGTTTGTAGGTGATTCTGAGAAGCGGTGAGAGAGATCAGATCTTCTCAGAGGGTTATACTTAAAACTGTGTTGAAGCTAAAAAGCATTGAGCTTCCACCTAATTAAAAAAAAAAAAAAAGAAAAGAAAGCTAGAATATTTTCAGAAGAAGTTTGGTTGCCAAATGTCAAACTCCCCATGACATCAGAAGCAGATAATAAATATCATCGTGCTTTATATAAGAAAGATGTTATTTTAATTTTCAGTATGTTGCTTAGATACAGATCAGGCACAATTTATCGTAGATAATTTGTCAGATAAATATTTTTTTAGCAAGTAATTATTTTCAAATATCTTCCCATTCTCTGGCCGGCTTTGCAGTTAGAAAATTGATGAGCATATTCTAAGAACAAATATATAGTGCCTAATGAAAGATAATGTGACTTTCTTTCACACTAAAGCCAATATTGCAGTGCAAAGAAATACCAAATCTGGAAACGAGCAAACTGCTGTGTAAGAAACAGCCTGGAGTGGGTGAACATAAAGAAACTAGTGTAGATTTTAATCAAATTTGCCTATTTTCACTTTTAGGAATGTTTCGACCACTTAGAGAAGAATTTGCTGAATAAAGGTGGTAATGACTTTCATTGCCTTTCTAGGTAGACAGATTTATTTCTCTATGTGGTGGTGATGAAATACAAATATAATGGCAAAAATTCATGTGTCTGTCTTTTACTTTCCTGATATAACAATAGCAGAGCAAACTCATATAGTGCCACAGTTCTCTGTGTCTGCCACCAGCTCTGCCTAAGGCAAAGGAGCTCAACAGTTGTTCAGCTTAGTCCTAGACAAAACAAATAAAAAAACACAGGTCTGACTCCACAGAAGAGTTCATAAAACAAAAGCCAGAGAAAAGGTGGTGTCTGCCTGGTAACTAAACTAGAAGAGGATACAAGGTATTTGATAAACCAGAAGAGTTGCAATACAGCATCACAGTTAACTTCCAGTGTTAGAAGCTGCATTTGAAGAAAATTGTCCTTGGAGTTGCAGGCACGACAATAATAGCACAAAACTATGCCTTGAACACATTGAGCTATTTGAAATCTTTCTTGCTTAGAAAGGGACAATGAGTGCCAGAACTTGTACTGAATACCTTCCTCTTTTATTGAGAATTCTTTATTTCCTTCAAAATTTTGCCTTTTTAAAAATTTTAAATAACATCATCACTGCTAATATTATTTTTCATGTTATTTATGTAACGGTGTTAACAAGTAGCTGATATATATCATGCTAATTGTTTTCCCTTTTTGCTTTAAAAATATCAGAAAAAATAAAAACATGTTCCTGCAGATTTTGGGAAATGGATAGTCTTGAAGATAGTGCAAAAAAATGACTTCAGCTTGGCGTAGTGAAGGAGGAGAAGTCGATGGGATATGTTACTGTTGAGGCGAACAGAGAACTTTGTAGAAATGAAAAAAGATTCAGTGGTAAAAACCAAGTCAGTGATGACAACAAAGTCAAAGACAGGAGTCTCCAGTCAGGTAACAGTCATCCAGAAGAGCAAAAGTGGAGGCAGCAATCGGCTTTTCAGTGTTAAAAGGGAAATGGAAGTTGGTAACAAGACTTATAAAAACTGTCAGAAAAAGATGTAAATTTATGCAGGGGAAATGATTTAGTAATACCGTCAATAGGGAGTCATAGAGACTTTCTATTAAAATGAAAGTTTCAGAAAAAGCTATCAGAGTTAGAATTTTTTACAAATCCGACCTGCTGAGAAGACATTGCACAAGAGCATTTTACTCAACTTCATTCGAGCCTTTTCTTTCTCTTTTAATTGTGCAGATTCGAAACTCCCTAAACAAAAACCTGATAGTTACTCACCAGAGGCAGAAGTACAAAAAAATCCTGTGTTCTGCACAATGACTCTGTCTGTCATGGATTAGAGACTTAGTTTACAAAATGTACGAAGAAACAAAGGGCTTGCTTGAAGGCTATACTCAGGATAATGCTGCTAAATGTGTAGTTCAGTCCCAAGTTCTTTATCAGTCTTCATAGGCCTTTTTCCGTAACATAGTTATATTGTGGATCTTCATCTTTGATGGAGTTTCAGAATATTTTGCTTCTATTCCTGTTGTAGGAAGATGGGACATACAATAGTTCCAGCTGACAAACGGCACGATGGTGTAATGAAAGATGTGTTCCACTAGCCTGTAGCACAGTAAATATTTCAGTCACTTTGTGTGTTTTCCCGCATAAAGGACAACATTTAATATGTAAGGACTATGTGTGAATACAGCTTACAGGAAGCAGTGGTCTTTCTTCAGTTGTTGACTCTCTTTAAAAAAATGATTATTATGGCTCTAGGTATTCTCTGCTCATGTAGTTTTTCAGTGTCTTTTTAGAGCAAGGACCCAGGGATATTAGTAAGAGTGATGCATTTCTGTGGGTTTCAGTTTTATGCAGCTTTCATTAAATAGAAATGGGAAGTGTTCATAGAAACCTTATGAGTCTTTCGGAAAGCTTTATGATGGAATGCGTGAACCATGAAATATAAAGGTCATCAAATTGAAAATGCAGAGATTTCAGAACATTCAAAAGATTATACAGAAAACAGGTTATACTTGTGCTAAGATTCTTGTCGTCTTCTCAGTATAATCACTTTAGTGTAGGTTATGGTAATGTGCCTTTATTTGTAATGCTAATTGGGACCACTCAAGAATACTTTGGGGAAGAAAAATAATTTTAACACCTAAGAAATATTAAAAAAATAGGAGGATGAAGCAGAGTAGACATTATGCCTAGGAAATAACCAAGCTTAATTTC